GTCTTTTAAAAAAAAAAAAAAAAAAGAAGTAGTTAATGGTTATTGAGCACTTTCTATGTGTTAGTCCCTGTTCTAAACACCTCACGAAAATCTTACTAATAGATGCTATTCATTATTTCCCACTTACAAAGGAAAAAAACTTAGGGATGTTTTGTTTGTTTGTTTGTTTTATTGTTTTTTAACAATTTGTCTAAGGTTGTACAGCTAATGATTATTAACACGGGTGCATAGTCTAAATTTTAAAGGTGAGGTGCCACTAGTCATGTGTAACTATTTAAATTTAAATTTTAACAGAACGTGTATGGGTTGTTGAATGGAAAACCAAGTTGCTTTATAAACTTGACCCAAATCACAATTTTAAAAAAATAAAATTTAATTAATTAAAATTAAGTAAAGTGGAAAAGGCAATGCTGCAGCCACACTAACCACACCTCAAGTGCTCAGTAGCCATCATGTAGCTAGAGGCTACTGCCTATAGGACAGCATTGTCTAGAATCTGGAACTGTACTGTTCAATACAGTAGCCACTAGCCACATGCAGTTACTGACATTTGAAAAATGACTAGTCCCAACTGAGAAGTACTAGCTAGAAATATAAAATATACACTCCAGATTTTGAAGACTTATATTTGGGAGGGGGAGCTCTAGTGGTGTAGTGGTTAAGGCATTTGGCCAAAAGGTCAGTGGTTTGAACCCACCAGCTGTTCCATAGAAGAAGGTGGGACAGCCTGCTTCCATAAAGATTTACAGCCTTGGAAACTCAATGGGGGACACTGTAAATCAGAACCGACTTGATGGCAGTGAGAGAATAATAAAAAGAATGTAAAATATCTCATTAATAATTTTTAAAACATTGATCATATGATAAAAATGATATTTTGGATATAATAAAACCCAAACCAAACTCACTGCCACCAAGTCGACTCCGACTCATATCGACCCCCATTGGGTTTCCAAGGCTGTAAATCTTTATGGAAGCAGGCTTCCCCATCTTTCTTCTGTGGAACAGCTGGTGGTTTCAAACCACTGAACTTTTGGTTAGCAGCCAAATGCCTTAACCCCTGCACTATCAGAGCTCCTTTAGATATAATGGGTGAAGAAAAAATATTTTTCAAATTAATTTCACTTGTTCCTTCTTTTTTTAAAAAAAAAAAAAAAAAAAAAAGAATATTTACAATTATAGATATGGCTTGCAGTCTCTCTCTATTGGGCAGCTCTAGGCTAGAACCTGTGGCCTAGGTTCCCACACTGCCTCCCCACAGCACAATTGTTGTTGTTGTTGTTGTTATGTGCCATCGAGCACAGTAGGAACTATAAGAAGTGGGTGGAGGAAGTGAGGAGGGAAGCACGGAGCTGGGCTGTGATGGAGCTACTGGTATGGGTGATGGAGACTGGGTCCTTTGCTGCTTCAAATACAAGCTCCATTTAATGATGTGATCATGACAATATTTTATTGGTTGCATGAGCTCATTCAATTCTCACAAGATGAGAGGAAAGGGAACCTCAGAGAGGTTAAGCAATTTTTCCAGGGTCACACTGTCCCTAAGCCCCAAAGCTGGGAAATCAAATCCAGGTTTGCCCACGCCCACCTACAGCTGGAGCTGGTGGGTGATGCTGAGTGAATTCACTCACTCTCCAGTTGTGCTGTGTTCTCATACACCCCAGTGATTTTCTCATTCCAAGCTTTACTCTTTCTAAAGCTCTCTGACCCCTGTACACGGAAAGGTTTGATTCTGTAACACCAAAAGAATTTCCACCTTATTGCCTCAGAGTCTCAGGGAACTAAGGTTTACAATTCCCAAGTGTCGAGGGTTAATATTTATGTTCACTCGCTCATTCAGCAAACATTCATTAAGCCTTAGGCACCAGGCTAGGCTGAAGGATCCAAGGATCCAGTAGGAAAGGGACCCAACTCCACCTCACTGCCTGAATAGTCAGTCTAGCACTCAGCATTCAAGAGGGAGACATTTATCAGTATACAAAATAATTAGTTTTATTTTTAAATAACTTTTTCAAATTACAAAAGTCATATTTGGCCAATATAGACAATATTTGGGGAAAGAAAAACAAACCCACTGCCATTGAGCGAATTCTGACTCACAGTGACTCCATTGGGTTTCCAAGGCTGTAAATCTTCACAGAAGTAGATTGCCTCATCTTCCTCCAATGGAGCCGCTGGTGGGATTGAACCACCGAACTTCATGGTTAGCAGCCAAATGCCTTACCCACTACACCAAGATAATTATAAATAATCAAAAAGAATAAAATCATTCTGTCTAGGGGTAATTTCAGTTAAAATTTTGGCATATCTCCTTCCAGTCTTTTTTTCCATGCACAAATTTCAAAGTGACTCATCTTAAGCAAATAGTACATACATATTGAATATTATCTGTTTTTTAAAAGATAGCTTCTTTATGTTTAAATTTATTATTGGTGTAAAAATATATATGGTCAGTTGACAACACTTTTGTCAATTCAGCCTTTTTCCAGTGTAAAACTTAGTGATATCAATTACATTAATTATGTTATGCAACCATTACCCTTAATCACTGCCAAATATCCCATCACCATAAACAGAAACTCACTGCTTCCCAAATAATGGCTCCCCCTTCTCCTCTTTTCATCCACCCCTGGAAACCACTAATAAACTTTGGTCTCTGTGTACATTTGCCTATAATTGTTTAAACAGTTTCTTAACCACAAGGCTTCTACTTTCTTCTCTCTGACTTGGCTTCTACAGTCAAACCTAGGGCTAATTCTTTCTTTCTTTTTTTTAAATGACTCAACCTCATTCAGGGGTGTTCCCCACAACCATCCATAGGGGTAGTTCTTTGAGACAGGATTCTGTGTGGAAGAGATGAGAAAAGAAGTGTGAAGGTGGCACTGGACATCTAGAAGACAGTTTTTCGATATCCCAGCCACCCAGCAAAGCTGACTTACTGCTGCCTGAGTCCCTTTCCTGGGACAGCCCTCAGGGAGCCAGCCCATCCCCAGCATTTCCTGCCTGCAGCTAGTGAGGTGAAGGTGTTGGAGGAGTTGAGGGTGTGGGGCCAGGTGGTGACACAGCAGGCTTGGGAATTCCAGAGGCCACATATGGGCACCTGGAGGATCCAGGTGGAGGAAGAGCCAGCTCTTCAGAGTGGGCAGGATGGTGCAGTTATTTGGAATTTCGAAGACATCACATCATCCAGGTTTGGTTGCCTGGTACATGTGACTTAACTTCTTTGAGCTTCGGTTTCTTCATCCATAAAATAGGGATAATATTTGACCTCAAAGATTTGAGTGATGGTTAAATGAGATAATTATGCAAATTACTTGGCACATAAATACACAAAGCAATCACTATTACTAAGAATCTGAATAAAAGGGACCACCGAGCCAGATAGTCTGGCCTTGACTTAAGGAAATGGATTTTTTTTTCCCTCCCATCCTCAGTTAGTGGTGCCCTGAGGGGAGAAGTTTCCCTGAGGGGCTGAAAATAAATCCTGGCTGTACAGGAATGAGTTGGATACTACACCTGACACGCAACCACGGTCTGTGAAATAAACGCTTTAGAAACAGACCAATTTCTAATTCTAGCCCTTCCTCCTCCTGCCTCCTCCCCACTTGGCTCACCCAAGTGCTTCAGTCAGCCGCCTTCCTGCCCAGCAAGCTTCCCCATCAGGGCCTCTTCCCTCCCTTCCCCCTCGGTTCGCCCTTCTGTCCGTCCCCTGCCATTTCCCTTCCCTCCTTTGTCCTGAGTCCTCGCCCCGCCCCCAGCCCCGCCCACCGCTTGACCCTCGAGGCCGCCCTCACTAAGTCCCTTCCTCTCCATGCAGGCCTGGCCCTGAACCGGCTAAGCGCCCCCGACCCGGCCTGGATGGCGAGGCTGTCTTTGCCCCTTGCCACCAACTACCGCGATAACGTGTGCTCTCCGGACGCCACGGCTTTGGAGGAGCCTCGGACCTTCCAGACGTTTGGGAAGACGGCGGGGCCGGAGCTGAGCCCTACGGGTACACGGCTAGCCAGCACCTTCGTTTCGGAGATGAGCTCGCTGTTGGAGATGCTGCTGACGCAGCGATCCAGCGTGGTACCCATGGAGGCTGCCTCTGAGGTGCTGCGGCGGCTGTCGGTCTGTGGGAGGACCCTCAGTCTGGACCTGGCCACCAGCGGGGCCTCGGGCATGGAAGCCCAGGGGGGCCCAGGTGGAAAGAAGGGGGACAAGGACAGGACTGCAAGCAGCAGCACCAGCAGAGGCCTGTGAACACACTTTGGGTGTCTCTGGATCCAAGAACCAAGGGTCTTCGGAGATGTTAAAGGGGAGCCCAGGCTCTGAGGATCCTGGGACATGAGCTTATTTCTAAAATTTTGGAACTCACTGAGCAGAGGCAGCCCCAGAACTTTAGGATGACCCATGCACCCTCTGCAAAGGAGGCAGGGGACCCAAGACTAATAGTTGTCTGACCAAAGCAGGCTCTCTTTTTAGGGGCTGGCTCTGCCTGTGAATTTTTGGAGGATGGGGCAGTTTGGAGCTGAGATAAGTGTTTGCTGGCAAAACACACACAGTGCCAAGGGTCAGTCTTCCAGTGGAACAAATGCCAAGGAGTGTCACAATCAGGGACAGATAACCTTATTGGGGTGGGGAGCCGGATCCTGGGGCCCCAGGCAATGCTCTCTGACCTACTAATAAAGAAAAAACAATGGCTCACTCTTCTGTTTGCACCTGTCAAGAGGGAGGCCGCAAGAGTAATCAAGTGAGGGCTCTGTCATCCACTGGCAAAGGAGTCTTGCTGGCCCTTGGCAGGACTGGAGGAAGTTGGTGCACAGTGTTAGGTACACAAATGATGGACATCTGTACTCTTGAGCCCACTCCTCTAGTGCTACATTATCAATCTGCTGCTCAGCTGGAATATTGGGGCTAAGAAAAGTGCTACTATTTTTAGAACATTTGTATAAGTCATGCACCAGACTTTACAATATGATTTAATTTAATTTTCACAACAACCTTGGAAGGGAAGTAGTAGTATCTCCATTCACAGACCAAAAAAAAAATGAGGCTCAGAGAGGTTAAGTGTCTTGTCCAAGACACTCCTGGAGCAGGGAGTAGAGGCAGAGTGGATGTTTGGCCACACGCTTGTCCAACACCAAAACTCCTGCCCTACACTTTGACACTAGTCTGCCAGCCAAGGAAAAGAAAACAGAAAGCCTCCAAAAGTGGGTTTTTCACGGAGGTAGATTTGCCTGAGTTTCTCTCAGGAAACACTGTGAAATGAACATTTCCGATGCTACTCAGGTTTGTACGTCTCTATGAACTTGCATGCACAGAGCAAGAGGACCTTGGTTCTGGCCTGATGCAGGCCTGGGCCTCTCTGCAGGACCCTATTCTTCCCCAGGGAGCAGCCCTTCAGGTACAGAAGTCATCTTTCCTGACCCTGTTTGTGGGTAAATCTTCCTCTTACAGCAGGCTTGGGCTGTGAATTCAGGCCCCAGAGGACAGTGTATGAAATGGGTCTGTGAAATGGACACTGACAGCAGACCTTCCAGGGGAGGAGTGAATGAAGAAACAGCAAATACTTTCCCAAGGCTCAGCCTTATAATTTTCCTGGAAATTTCCGAGCAGTCAGCTAGATTCTCAATAGCACTGGACACTGATGGCAACATTATTTCTCTGTGTTCCTCCTTTTGTCCTCTCATAGAGCTCAGTACTTACGTTCACAGAAATGGGCCAATCATCTTTTCAACTAGGGATAATGAAAATCACACATACTTGGAATACAGTGTGGCATCATCTCATTTTACAGATGAGGAAAATGAGGCCTAATGGAATTAAGTGCTTAAGGAGTAGGGTGAGAATTAGGTCTCTGATCACCTGACTCCAGGCCAAGTGATATCTTTACAAGATCTCTGGTTTTCAAGCCAATTCACAAGTCAGTGAGGGAGGCTGGGGGAGACCAAACAGGCAGCATCTCTGGACTATCCAGGCAGGTGCTAGGCATAAAGACGATACCTGAAGAATGCTTGTTGAATGGATGAATGAATGGATGGTAAGTGAATGCTTCAACCAGAGACCCCTTTTATCTACATAGGAGCTCCAGGTAAGATTTCATTAGGAAAAAAAAGGTTATATAATGTAAAAGCAGAGTCTGAAACCACAGCACCTGAGGGCTGACTGATGCCATGGTTACTAGTGAATTTTCAGTGCTGAGCTGATGTTAGAGAGATGGAGGGAAGAGATGGAGAAGGAAGTACCTTGAGGACCCTGGAACCATGACTGGAAGCTGGATTATTGGGAACACTGGGTCAGTGCATCACTGTAGTTCAAAAGTCCAAAATCTGTAGTCCTTGTGCCCCCTTATATACTTTGTGTACGAGCATTTTTCTGGGTAGACTCCTCAGCGTCTCAAAGGAACATGTGACCTATAAAAGGTAGGCAGCACTGCTCTAAGACACTATCAAACCTCTGCAGACGTGGGCAATTTTAGTCATAAGGAATCTGAATGTTTGTCTACTACAGCTCTTCATTTTATAGCCAAGGACATGGAAAGACAGAAATGTTAGATGACTTGCCCAAGGCCACATGGCAGGTTTGTGGCACAACTAGGATTTGGATGTGGGAGTTAGTTAGCAGTTGCTCTTTCAAGTATATTTAGGGTTCTTCTTCTTCTTTTTTAAATTTTATTTTTGTTGTTGAGAATATATACAGCAGTTGTGTGCCATCAAGTCAGTTCCAACTCATAGCAACACTATAGGACAGAGTAGAATATGTCCCATAGGAGCTCTGGTAGCATAGTGGCTAAGACACTTGACTGCTAACCAGAAGGCTGGTGGTTCAAACCCACCAGCCACTCCTCAGAAGGAAGATGGGGCAATCTACTTCCGTAGTGATACTGCCTCGGAAACCCAAGGAGGGGTCACTATGAGTCACTCAACGGCACATAACAACAACAACAGAATATGTCCCATGGGGTTTCCTAGGCTGAAATCTTTATGGTAGTAGATCACCAGGTCTTCTCTCCCACAGAGTGGCTCGTGGATTTGAACCACTGACCTTTTGGTTAGCAGCTGAGTACTGCTGGCACCACCAGGGCTCCTTCTACAGAGCAGAACATACACCGATTCAACAATTTCTACATGTATAATTCAATGGCATTGATTACATTCTTCAAGTGGTGCAACCATTCTAATTAAACCTTCTTTCCAAATTACTCCTCCTCCATTAACATAAAGTCACTGGCCCCTGAGGTTCCTATCCAACTTTCGAGTTGCTATTATATCAAGGGTTCTTAACCTAGGGTCCTTGGTAAGACTTCAGGATCTATGAACCTTCTGAATTCCATGCAAATCTGGAAAGATGTGCATTTTTCTAGGGGAAAAAGTCAACACTTTAGATTAAGGGCCACTGCTGTGGCAATCCTCTGGGTCAGTCTGCTGCAGAAACCAAGGCCACTTGTATGTAGAACTGTTCCTGTTCTGAGACAACAGATTTTTGATGGGGTGTGTGTATGAGTGTTGGCTACACTTTGCTTGCTCTCTCCCTCACCAAGTAATCCCCCCAACACGTTGATACCAGGCCCTTTCCCATTAATAGGCTGAGAGTGTATATGGTGACAGAACTGAGAGTGCTGAACAAGATGGTTACAGAAACTTCATGACTTTAGCCCAGATGTCAAAGCTGAGACTTTGGATGGTCTCAGAACAGTTCCCACCAAGTTGGGCTCTGTCCCCTGGGAGATTGAGGGAGCAGGCGAGCCAACGAGCACTCAGTTAAATGTCGTCTTAATTTGGAAAGCACAGAGGGATATTTTTTATCAATAGTCAGCCATTCCCCAGCACCAGAAGTGCAATGCAGTGCTCAAAGCCTGGGGGCAGCTTAGTGATTGACAGGCAGCCTCCTTGTCTGTCACCTGATTTCAGCTTGGCAACTCACTGACCCTACTTCTCTGGCTGAAACAAGAGAGAGATGGCAACCACTACCCTTGGGACTCTGGAGAGAGCCAAATGCCAAAAGGATGGGTGGAGTGAGAAGGTTTAGCACAGTTCCAGCCTGACACATACTGTGCACCTAGCCAACAGGTCAGTATTTTCTAGCCATACTAAGTATCAGGCATAATGTAATGGGTGGAGGGATGGCATGATCAGAAACACTCATTCAGTAAGCATTTTGTGTTTATTGAACACTTATTATGTGCCAGAAGTAGCACTAGGAACAGCAGTGCACAGAGGGTTATACAAAATCCTTTATTCATTCAACAATTACTTTTAGCATATTGCTTTGTAGGCCTGGTGCTGGGCATTGGGTGGAGAAGTGGGAAGATGCATTGATTCATTCACTCACTCACTGAGTTTTTACTGAACACCTACTAAGTGCCCAGTACTATATTAGTACTGATGATATAGTGAACCAAACAGCCATGTTCCCACTCTGTTGTCAGAGCTTCCTGAAAACTGTCCCCAGATAAGGAAAGGGAGGCAGCAGAACCTCATGTAAGGTCATTGCTGAGGGCATCAGGCCCTGAACCTTGGGTCACCCAGCATCCTGACTAGGCTGGACCTGCTCACAGGAGTCGCCTCCCTGTCCTTTTCTCACATTTCCTCTCAGGGCACTGACGAGGAGTCATTAACAACAGAACTTTAATGGCAAAAGCACAGCAGTTCCTGGTCTGCTGATGAAACCCATCCCCTGGAGCTGTATCAAGACTGCAGTGACTGAACAGCCAAGGATTTTTGGTCCCTTGACATCTTTCATGACTCTCCCAACCTTCCCTCTCTACCCACAGAGGCCCTTCCTCTTTAAATTGGAGAGCTTAAAAATATCCCAGCCCTACCTCTGGCACCCTAAATTGAAATCAATGTTTAACTTGTAACAAGCAGGGCTGTACCTGGCTGTCTACACAGAATGCCCAGTGCCCACGGATTGTGTGAACCGGTCCCCAGGCATTCTTCAAGCGGTCAGGAGGAAGCTGTAATCGGAGAAGCCAAAATGACAACAGGAGGGGGTAAAAGCCTGCTGAGTGGGGTTCCACAGGGAGGGCAGGAGGTGACATTTTACATAGAGCCTACCCAAGGGTGCCCCAGGAAGCTTAACAGGTAATCTGTGGGGAAGCGGGTCTGCACAGCTCAGAGAGGGAAACATTGGGTTAACAAGGTTCTTTACCATAGGACTTCTTGGAACTGCGAATATGCTGATGTGCGCTGTGAATCTATAAAAAGGGGATGTCTAGTGCAGCATTTCCCAAACTTATTTGACCACAGAAACCTTATTTTATTTTTCTTTTTTTCGCAGACAGATTAGTGCATTGCACAGCTTTAAAACCCTAAGCTTTAACCGATGTGTATTGAGCCCCTGCATGGGCCACTGGGCTAAGTGCTGGGGGTAGTGAGACACAAAGACAGGGTCCCTGCTCCCAAGGAGGCAGGCACGGGAATTGCTGGAGCTAGAGGAAGCTTAAGGAGCCATCAGTGAGATAAAAGCTAGGACCATTAGAGGTGAGAGGTGGGGGCTGGGAGTAGAGAAGGAAATGTGGGAAACATTTTCCCCAAAAAATCCTCCCACTTTTGAGCTGGGTGGTCCGTCCTATTTGAACAGTCACCAGTGGGTTTGGCCTTCAGTCCTGCTCACCGCCCCTCCTCCCCAACTCAACTGCATCTATGCTATTGAACTCAGGCTATCATCCAGAAACCAGGAACAGCTATTCACAAATTCAGTAATTGGAGTCATTAGCGTTGACTCAGAAATCCATTTTTTTCTAAGTCTCTCTCTTGGAGAAGCTTTTAAGACCCTTTAAATTGGTTAATGGAGAGTTTAGAGATGAGGATGGAGCCTCGGCTTCCAGCTCCCCCTGCCCATCACCCTGGCTCTCCCCAACACACTCAAGGGCAAAAGTGATGAGATAATCCAATATCAGTTTTATTAAACACTCATATGTTTCTGGCACACCCTTCCCAAAGGAGGACCTCAGAATCTACATTCTCCTGCCCAAGGCGCCAAGTGCTCAACCTCCATTTACTCCCTCACATTGGTATAATAGTAACAATGTTTCACGTAAAATTACAGCATGAACCAGTGGGAAACAGCCCAGGGCCAGGAGTCAGGAAGCCCGGGTCCTCATTCTGGCCTGATGACTCAGAAAACTGTGTAACCTCGGGCCTTCTCTCTGCTTTCCCAGGCATCAGTGAGCAGCAGCCAAGGTCCTTTCTGCAGTGAAATGCTGTGATGGTCTTGTTTAAACTCCACATCAAGCCAGTAAGGTAGAAGGGCAGATGCCATTGGCCTTGGTCTACAACTAAGGAAACAATGCAGCAAGTGAGGTTACTGCTACAAGGGGACAGGCCGGGTACATAGCCAAGCCAGGACTACAGCCTGGGTCTTAACACACTTTCCTCTTCTTTGCTGTGCTAAGGCCAGTGCTCAAAGTTCTTTGGGGAGGTGGGTGGATAACTGGCCTCTTCTGTGGGACCAAGGCTGTGCCAACTCTCTGAGCACCCACAGGCTCCATCTTCAGGGCTGAAGTGTGAAGGTCTGAAAAACCCAAGCAGACACAGGCATTTAGGTAAGAAACTCCTTCCTTCCAAATCAATAGAGAAATGAAAACAATCATGAACCAACTGGTGAGAGACAAAGGCAGATGCTGGAGCCAGTCTCAGGGTGACCTGACCCAGTGTTTCCTAAGGTTTAGCCATCCATTCAGAAACCCGAGGGGTTGTTATGAGTCAAATTGACTTGACGGCAGTGAGTTTGTTTTTTTTTTGTTTTGTTTTGAGCTTTTCATGGAACAACTTTCATGATTTTTGCCACATCTCTGGATCTACAATCCCTTAAGGAAATGATTTTCTTTAAATTGGTTCACTTGTTTTTAAGCTAGCCTCATCCTAGACATAGTATCTATGAAACTACTGGTCATCCTTTTATATTATACATTAAATATATAGTTAAAAAAATTCAAATATATCATGTACCATCTAAAATCCTCTCTTGAATATATCAGAAGAATACAGTCTAAGTCTGAGGAAACTGGGGCATGTGGATGGAGAGGTAAATCATTTATTTGCTCAAAGACAAAGGTCTCTAGACTCTTCAGTAGAGCTGTTCATTGGTCACTGAGTGAATCCTTTTTGTGAACAGACCAGAAATGACTGAATGCATCCACTACTCATCTGTGAAGCTACCAACTGGTGGACAAAATTAAAGTTATTTATTAGCCATGCATTTGAAAATCCTTGGGACCCTAAGCTCCCAGTGGAATTACACACACACACACCCCCTGCCCCGGAAAGGGATCCTGACACCCTATTTTTGCTGTCATGTAACTTCTCAGCCCACCCTGGCCCTGAAAGATACCAATGACTGTTTAATCTCACCTTAGCCAAAACCTAGTCTTACAAGACTCCTTTCCAAGGAGTGAGAATGTGGTGGGATACCATTGCTGTTGGCACCAGGGTTGGGTCTGAGATGCCCACTTCTGTAGAGGAGCCTAAGGTTCCCTGTGCTCCAGGCGTGTGGGAGACAGGAGGCTCCTGCCAGCAGGGTGTTCAGGCTGCCGAGGGAGGGACTGGAGAAGGACTTCAATCCTGTAACTGCCAGGTCACTGGGCCTGAAGGCTACAAGAAGAAGTGCAAGCAACTCTTACTCATGCTGTATTCTTGGACTCTTACCTTGGAGCAAGAATTTCTTAAAGAACTTGGTTCCCCCTGGCATTGTAAGCCCAGCCCACGCCAGTGAGCCATGACTCAGCAGAGTTCTCAGAGCCCTAGAAGGGTAATTCAGGGCACGGAGGCAGTCTCAGGGCATCATCCTGCCTAAAAAAAAATCATCAGAGCAGCTACCACTTACCACTTACACCTACTGTGTGCCAGGCTGCGCTTCGCCCTTTACAGTCATCTCATTTAATCCTTACAGCAATCCAATGATTTGGGTATTACTATTACCCTTGATTTTAGAGGTGAAGAAACTGAGGCTCAAAGACGTGGAGTCCAAGTTCAGTGACACAGGAAGGGTTGAAACTTTGGTTTGTCTGAATCCAAAAGCCATGCTCTTAACCACCATTAGGGTAGGAAATGGAGACCAGGGATCACTGTTACTCCCTTCTCTGTCATAGGGTGCCAAGCTCAGGGGAGGGACTCTGTTGGGTTTAACTTGCATCTGTACCTGCTGCCTCCATGGAGAAGAGGGTCTGCAGCCTCTCCTGAGCAGGCTCATTCCCCAGAGCTGCCGACTGCTGGTAACATTTCACGGCCTCTCCTAGATCTCTCTGCACACCAAGGCCCTTCTCATAGCAGATTCCTAAGTGGTACCTGCTCTGTGAGTCCTAAGGAGAAAACGGACAGACACAGAGACACGTACATATGCAGGACAGAGGAACTGAAATGCTAAGGCAGGAGGAAGGTGAGCAGTCAGGCGTGCTGGTGCTTCATCCAGGCAGGATCAAGATCCAGCCCCGTATGACTGGACCTCAATTATGAAAATTCAGAGGCCCAGAGCTCACTCAGCATAAAGGAGACAGAGATCCCTCCAGCTGGGAGAATCCAGCCAGAGCAGTATGGAAGCATCTCTCACAGATGCCAATGCTGAAAACATGCACAAGTGAAGGCTGCAAGAAGTACTCAGCCCAGCTAGGGGAAGCCGGGGAGTCAGGTTCTTTTATTATCCCGAAACAATAAGGAGGCAAAGCTGGAGGGTAGGCTTCCCAAAGGGCCTAGATATCTTCCTGAATCTCGGCCTAAACCAACCAAACAAACCCACTGCCATCAAGTTGATTCCAATTCATAGCAAGCCGCATTGGGTTTCCAAGGCTGTAAATCTTTACGGAAGTAGATTGCCTCATCTGCCTGGTGGGTTCAAACCACTGACTTTCTGATTAGCAGTCAAATGCCTTACCCACTACTCACCAGAGCTCCTTGAATCTAAAAAAAGAAAACCAAACTCACTGCCATCAAGTCGATTCCAACTCACAGTGACCCTCTCTGGGTTTCCGAGGTGGTAAATCTGTACGGAAGTAGATATTCCAGTCTTCCTTCCATGGAGTGGCTGGTGGGTTTGAACTGCCAACCTTCTGGTTAGCAGTCAAATGCCTTAGGCACTACACCAACATAGCTCCTGAATCTCTCCCTAACAACAATGCAATGCAATGCACTGCTGTCAAGTCAGCTCCTCCTTGGGTTTCTGAGGCAGTATCACTATGGAAGTAGGTTGCCCAACCTTCCTTCTGAGGAGTGGCTGGTGAGTTTGAACTGCCAGACTTCTGGTTAGCAGTCAAATGCCTTAGGCAATACACCACCTGAGCAACCAAATCTCTCCCTAGAGGGCCAAAAAGAATAAATTATAGGGAAAGTGTTTCTGCTCCTTTAAAAGGCTAATCCCTTCACCCATGCCTCTGGACCTTCTTGCTTTTCTCACGGAGAACCAGGAGGAGCAATGTCAGATAGCTGTTAAGTGCTCATCTATACAGCCAGACTGCTTGGGTTCTAATCTTGGTTGCACCATTTACAAGCTGTGTAACCTCAGGCTTGTTAACTCTACATCTCTGTGCCTCAGTTTCCTCATATATTAGCACCTACCTTACTAGATTGTTGGGAGGATTAAATGTGTTAATATACAAAAATGTTTAGATTAGTACATGGTACATAGCAAATATTGCATTATTTTTATCTTTTATTTGCCTACATCATTAATCTTTCCCTTTCTACTGGAATATTTTCATCATACTCAATCTCTCAACTTAAAAAAAAGAACAACAAAAATCTCTGTTGACTCCCAACCATGGTTCCATTTCTCTGCTACCGTCCAGTCAAATTTCTGGAAAGAGTTTGTCTATACGTTCAGCCCCCACTTCTGCAGAAGTCAGTCCAAAGTCTATGTAAGAGCTACAGTGAGCTCAGGGCTACAGACCAGGTCAAAAAGCAGAATTGGACAAACATAAGGCAAACACTCACTCATGCAAAACTGCTCAGTGCACACCCAGGAAGACAATTTCCTGTGGGGTGGGCAAGTGTGAGCTCTATGCTCCAACACAATACTCTATAAAGGGTGACACACATCCTACTGTGTACTTTTCCTCCTACCATGCTGAACATGTACCCACTTAGCCTGAGGCAGGTATGTGGGGCTTTCAGAGGAAAGGAAGGTACAGTGGCAGGTACCAGTTGGTGACAGCAGTCTTATTTTGACAGCTACTATAGATACTTTAAAGGAGCCCTGGTGGCACAGTGCCTAGGGCATATAACTACTAACCAGAAGGTCAGTGGTTCAAACCCACCAGCTAGTCTGTGGAAGGAAGATAGGGCAATCTACTTCTTTAAGATATACAGCCTTGGAAACCCAATGGGGGTCACTATGAGTTGGAATTAACTCGATGGCAGTGAGTTTGGTTTTTGGGTTTGGTTTATAGATACTTTGGGCAACACAGAGTGCCCGAGAGCTCAATGAAGCTATCAGTGTGTCGGCCAGAAACAAAAAAAAAAGCAGCAGCAGCCTCCTATGCAGGCAAATTATAGTATAAACACATTGCTTACTTTAACCTGTTACTCCTAGTCCTTCAAGGTATAACTCAAAACATATGTAGGATCAAACACATTTTGGGAAATACAGCAAACCATAGATAGATCCCCTTCTTGGTGATCACAGTGACATAAAGCTCTGAGATTTCCTCAGGCACAGAAACCTTTCTAACCCTGTTTAACCCAGTATTTCCCAAGTGCAACTGACCTTTATTTTTTTCTGATATTACTTATAAACACCCATGGAACCAAGGCTCTGTTGAACTTTAGGTCATGGTGTCTGAATGCCATTCCCCAGTCCACAGAGGGCATTTCCTCTCCCGAACCACTCAGTGTCTTCACCTTATGTATCTCTGATTTCCCTGAACTACCGCCTCTTGGAATGATGCACCTTTCATGTGTTACAGTTTGCAAAGTGCTTTCACATCTATTATCTCAGTTAGACTCTGATGCTCACAACAATACTGTGAAGTAGTAGACAAGTAAGATAACTGTCCTAATTATAGAGATTAGGAAACAGGTTTGAATTAGGAAATGATCGGCTCAGTAATACGCTGGTAAATGTTTAACAACTGGCTCCTCAGGGGAAAAAGCCCTACTCTGTAGCATTTGCCAATTTCTGTGGTGCAAATACTCCCACTGTGGCTGATTTTAAGCTACCAACAGCTTTCACACTGGACTTGCCCAAGAGTCACACAATGAGTCTGCAAGACCTAAGGCTTGTTCTGGATAAAGTGGGAGAACAATGTGGAACAAAAATCAAAATTATTAAAGAAAAAAAAAAAAATGGGGGACCAGGTTTGCTGGTCTGATAGAGCCTGGTGGAACCCCTGAGATTATGGCCCCTAGCTGCCCTTCAGGTCTGGAATTGAACCCACTCCTGTGGCTTCTAGCCAAACAAAAGACAGGCATATGAGCTGAACATTTATATTAAGTAGATACACTCCTTGAAGAGATCAATCATGGGAAAATAGAAGGGCTGTGTATGCACAGGGAGACAGCTCCGGGGCCAGGGGTGGATGAGAAGGAAGGACGCAGGGAGGAGGTGGCTATGGGGAGGAAGTGAGGGAGAGCTGTTGCATTGTGGGAAATTGCAGTCATTGTCATGAGACAAAGTGTATGTGAACTGCTGTATGGAAAGTGAATTTGCTCTGTAAACTTTCACCCAAATCACAATAAAAATTAATAAAACAAAACAAACCTAAGGCTTGAAGCCAGCCCAATGCTCCGTGGATCTAAAGGGTCTCCTAAGCTAAGGAGAATTCAATACCAGTTCCAAAGCCCCTTAACTTGTCAGACTCAATCCCCAACATGCCTAGAGACCAGAGACCGCATACCCCATTGTTGGCTGCAAGCCAAAGGTATTTCACAGCTCTCTGTTCATCCAGGTACGGCTCCTTGGTGAAAAGCACACCGAGGAAAGCTTGGGCCTGTAGTCAAGAAGGAAGGAAAAAGGGCATCTTAGTCACTGCCAGACCCCACATGCCTCAGCTGCCCAGGCTAGACCCCACTAAAAGGCACTCACCTCTCTCAAGCCTGAGTCTGCAGCCTGCTTCAGCATGGACATGGCCCTCTGCTGCTCAGCAACCACCAAGGAGACAGGGTCTTGCAGTAGGCACCTGGCATAGCGGTACTGAGCAAGGCTGTGGCCCTGGCTGGCAGCCAGCTGGTAATAACAGATTGCCTGGGGCAAAAGGAAAAACACCCAGTCATTGGTACCTCTATAAGCAGCCTTTTCCTTTGAGTGAAATTTTAACAAATTATTTTAATTAAATAATACATAATTATTAACAATAAGTCAGATAATGCAGTTGAGCTAAAATTTAAAAATACAGATAAGGCAAAAATAGAAATATGAAATCTCAAGAAATTCTGCCTCCCAACATCATTCTCTGTTAACATTTTGCTGTACAGAAAAATGTACAGAAAAAATACTTAAGTTTGTGTATGTATCCATATATATATACACTCAGCACACATATAAAAAATTAGATCAAACCACATTTGCTATTTTGTATCCTATTTTTCACTTAACAATGTATGATAAATGTCTCTCCCTGCCAATAAATACAGACCTAACACATCATTTTTAAGGGCCAAACCAAAAAAACCCAAACTCACTGCCATAGAGTCAATTTCAACTCATAGTGACTCTCATTGGGTTGCCAATGTGGTAACTCTTTACCGAAGTAGATTACCCTGTCTTCCTTCCATGGAACAGCTAGTAGGTTTGAACCGCCAACCTACTGGTTAGCAGGCAAATGCCTTAGGCACTACACCACCAGAACTCCCTTTTTAAGAACCAAACCAAAAATCAAACTCAGTGCCATCACATCAATTCCAACTCACAGCAACTCCTATTGACTTTACAAGGTGGTAAATCTTTATGGAAGAAGGTTACTCCATCTTCCTTCAGTGGAGTGGCTGGTGGGTTTGAACTGCCAACCTTTTGGTTAGCAGTCAAATGCCTTAGATATTGTACCACCAGAGCTCCTTTTTAAGGACCAGGCAGATGTAATTAACTAATTCTCTTTTGAAGGAATTTTAAGTTGCTTTCCTTTTTTTTTTCTTTGCCATCATATACAATTCTAAGAAATACATTCTTATATATAACATTTTGTATACTTACCCTAATTTTTTTAGTATCAAGTCATCAAGATGCTGTTCCAGGCGCTGAGGATATAGCTGCAAACAAGAAACAAAGTCCCTGCCCTCCCTAAGTTTCAAGTCTCAATTCTTAGAAGTTAAGAGCCTCTTTCTTACTTTTCCCTGGCAGCTGGGCTAGAACTAAGTGGGAGGAAGGAGTCAGACTTTCTCCAAGCCCACTGGTCATGTCTAGAGATCACTATGGGCAGCCTGACACAGGAGACGGGCCGTCGGGCAGGGAGGAGGGTTAGTACCTTGCTGAGGTCTCGGGGGGTGCCTCTACCATGCTCATGACACAAGCCCATGTTGTACTGTGCTTTGCTGTAGCCACGGTCTGCAGCTTTTTGGAAGTAAGAAAAGGCTGCCGAGCAGTCCCCATTCCTCATGTTCTCAGTCCCTATAAGAAAGCACAGGGGACGAACACTTCCAGCTTCTTCTGCAAACTTCCCCATGTGCTCAGTCAAATACCCACTGGCTCTGCAACTGACCCCAGGATCTTCCCTTTCCTTTTTGTGTTAAGCATTTTGCATGTATTTCTATCCTCTGAATATTTACTGGTGAGCCATAGACATCACTGGGTTTTGCCCTCCTGGAACCCATTCTTCCTTCTCTTGGTAACAGCATCCCAAGTTCCATTTGGGAATGACCCCTCCCTAGTGCTGTCAATCAATGTGCCTGCACTTTTCCCAACCAATGAGACTCTCTCCCCCAGGATTCTGAATCTGGCTGGGGCAAGGACAGAAAATAGGCTGGGGCAAGTACAGAAAATAATTTCTGCAGTTTATTCTGACAGTAGCGCTCTGAAGACACTATTTTCTAGCTGGAGCCCCCTGGACCCCTGAAGCTCCCCTAAATCCTGCCCATTTTGAGGTTTGGCAGGTCAACAGAGCCCTTTTCTGCTTAAGTTAGTCAGTGGGTTGAGTTTGCTTGCAACCAATGAACCCTAACTGATACAGGTAATACAGTTAATCTTGTTTTATGAGGAGAAAACTGAGAATAGAAGCAGGTAATACAAGAGGGCTGAGATCTGAACATAAGTTATGTCCAACTCCAAAGTCCATATTCTTTTCATTGCCCAAACTAAAAGGAAAACAGGGAAGAGGCAGGCACAGCCCATTTTCAACCCTAAGCTTTTGCTCAGGCACTTTCTCCTGCCTGGGATATCTTTGTCTGCTTCTACCATCAGGCCCTCACATCCTACCTCTCCCCAAGAGCTTTCAGGCCACACTCAGGCTTTAAATACTTTTTTTGGTACTTATTTAATATACCAAGCCTTTTTCTATGAACTAAACTGTTTCAAAGTACAAGCCCAGTCTCCTCAATTAGACTGTAAAATCCTGGAGGCAGAAGCAGAAAAGAATGTAGAAAAAAATAACTTTGCATAGGGTGAAAGCTCTATACAAATGCAAAATGATTATGGCTTATGCTCCCTTTGTATTCTGCCACAGTGCTTAGTACTTGCTGAATAAATGAATATATGAATGAAGGAGTGGGCAAGAAAATTCTCAGAAGGGACTGTCTGCCCATCACTATCAGGAAAAGTTAATGAGGTAGAAGCCAGGTTCAATTCAGCCAGCAGTAAATTAAAGTCACCTCCCTGCTGATGGAAATCTCACTGTACAGGGTTGACAGACCCCTCTGTCCCTGGGGAGAAGGCTCGAGAGGCAAAGGATCCCACCCTGTTCCCATTCCCCACACTGGCTCCATCAATATACCCTGATCCATCCACTTTCTCGGTTTCCTCTGCCAATAACCTTAGACCAAACCACTATTGTTTTGCTTAGTCATCAGCAACAGCTCCTACCCCAATCTCCTCAGAGTCCCTTCTTGTATCCCTACAATCCACATCTATCCATATAGCAAGCAGCCAGAGAAATCTTAGAAAAAATAAATCAGATCATATTACTATCCCTCTCCTTGCTCCAGCTTAAAGCCCTCTAATGGTTTCCTGTTTCACTGTGGTGTAGTGAATACTTAATATGGCTCTTCTAGCCATGGTCTTTGTTGACTCCCACCAGATGACGGGGTGGGACTATACAAATCCAAGGTGCTTGTGGTACACCAGAGGAACTGGACAGCTTGCTAATAATGTAAATAAGGAACCCTTGTGGGGGTGGGACCATGGGAATAAGGGGTACAGAACCCCAAGGTGGGGATTAGTCAGTTTTGCCATTTCACAAGGCTAAAAATGAGCCATCCCCAAGGCGGAAAGGGGGAGGATTTCATTACCATCAAGAAAAGCCAGGAAAGGAGCCTGCCCTTTGGAGCCGAGATCCCTGCGCGGAGACAGGGTGGCAGCAGAAGCTGCAACCAAGACACTGGCATGAGACTGAATGGTGGGCTTCCCAGCCCATGGTATGAAACAGCTAAGTGCTTTCGGGCAAGAGGCTTGCTGGCAGAGTGGGATGCCTTTTTGGATGCTTACTGGCAATGCTAAAAGTGTTCTGTAACACTGGCCCAAGCAGGGCAGAAGCTGAGACCAGAGGGAAGCATGCTGTGGCAAAGCTGAGAAGAATCTGTCTTGATTGAAGAACTGTATCCTGAGCTGTTTTCTGATCCTGAATTGTAACCTGTTACTTCTCTAATGGGAGCTCTGGTAGCATAGTGCCTAAGGCATTTGACTGCTAACCAGAAGCCTGGAGGTTCAAACCCACCAGCCACTCCTCGGAAAGAAGGTTGGACAATCTACTTCCGTAGTGATACTGCCTCGGAAACCCAAGGAGGGGTCGCTATGAGTCGGGTCTGACTTGATGGCACATAACAACAACTTCTCTAATAAACCCCAAAATCGTAAGTACTGTCTTTGAGCTTTGTGTGGCCACAACAACCAATTATTAAACCCAGCTGAGAAGTAGACAGTGGCATGAGAGGGATGGCTGGTGTATGAATTGCCAAAAAGGTTAGAGGGTGGTGGCATGTCTGACCTCAGCCTCACAGGAATCAGACTTGGGCTGCTGCTGTTGTTCTAATCCTCCTTCCCCCTTGTGAAGTTAGAGGAGGTCGCACTCACTTAGACCATCTACACCTTTACCTTGGCCCAAAGGTCTCACCTGATCTGGCCCCTGCCTACTTCTCTGGCCTCATCTCCTAATCTCTTCCTGAACTCTAAGCTCCAACCCACTCACCTTTCTTTTATACCTTTAACAAGCAAAATGCAAATCTTGCCTCAGCACCTTCATCCTTGCTGTTCACCATGCTCAGATAGTTCTTTTGCCAGATGGTCACCAAGACTGGCTCCTTTTTGTCAATCTGGTCTTAGATTAGGGATCTTCTCTTCAGTGAGGACATTCAAATCAAAAGTTGCTCCTCACCTGACAAGTTACTAACACATTACTCTGTTTTATTTTCTCTGTAACATTCATCATCATCTGAAATTCTTTTTTGTTTGCCAATTTATTGTTTTCTCTCCTTCAACTCAAATGTCAGCTCTTTGAAAGCAAGGACTTTGTCTAGTGAATCACTGTATCCCCAGCATCTAAAGTATGGCCTAGTAAAAGAAAAATGCTCAATCTATTTTGAATGAATCTCAACTTCTTACCCACCTGCCCACTAAAACCCACTACTGGGAGTCTGGGTGTCCACATCAGCAGGCCTGAAACAAGCCAAGTTGCTGGAGATGGCAGGACAAATAGGGGGAGGGACATCTAGTATTTCCAGATATGGAATGTTATTGTTGCTAGGTGTCCTTGAGTTGATGACCCCATGTCATCAACTCACATAGTAACCCCATGTGACAGAGTAAAATTGCCCCACAGGGTTTCCTAGACTGTAATCTTTACAGAAGCAGATTGCAGGTCTTTTTCCTGAGGACAGACTGAGTGGGTTTGAACCACAAACTTTTCAGTTAGCAGCTGAGCACTCAACCAATGTGCCACCAGGGCTCCTTCCAGATGTGGGTAAGAGGTCCTATTTGTGTACTTGAAGGCCTGCTTCAAATCTCAAGAGCCTATTCTTTCCTTAGTGTGGCAAAGAATGCTAGGTGTCCTTCAAGATTTATTTTCCCCTGCTTATATATTAACAGAATTTCCAGGCAAGCACATGGTCATTAGCTAAAGACTGCATTTCCCAGGATTCTTTGCAACTAGATGTGGCCATATGCCTACATTCTAGACAATTACTTAATGCAACTTCTAAGTCATGACCTTAAAGGGAAGAAAGGGTCCTTTAGCTTTCCCACCTTTCCCTCCCAGCTGGCTGGAATATGGATAGGAGGGCAGGAGCTAGAATAGCCAAATTGGACCTTGAGACGGGCCAGTGTTAAGAATGGCCAAATAAGTATGAACGAGAATGCACGTGACACCACTGAGCCACCATTCCAGATGCGGTCTACCACCTGAGAGAAAATACAAATTCTCGTGTTTAAACCACTCTCCACTTGGATTCTATTTGACCCACCCCATACTCTTCCCATTTTTCCATACATCTGCTTTCGGGTAGGGTCTACTCTGTTACCCAGGAAGTTGAAAGCGATGGAAACACTGAGCTGGAAGAGCTGCTCAACAGAAGTCACTGCCTCCTCAAGGGAAAGAGTTTTTGATTTATCTTGTTCCTGAGAAAAAACATGGAGATTCATTATGGGATGGTTCACAGGAATTGCCACCTGCCCAAAGGAATGTTATGGGCATCCAAGTAGCCAAATCGGACAATACCTGCTTTTCTCCAGTTGTCTGAGTCTGGGCTGGCTTTGCCTTGGACTCAAAGCTACTGCTGGCATGCAGGAAGCCAGTATCACTGGGACCTTCAAGAAGAATACCTGACATACAGCCAAGGCAAAAGAGAAAGGTGTTATGTCTCCTTTTCTCCTATGTCCCCAGCCCACCCAGGCCCTCCCTCTAACCCCATTGCTAGGAAACCAAATAACTGAATGGCCTCAGAAAGCATGAGGCCTCCCAGGAATGACAATTCCTTCACCTGGGAATATGCAGCTACAAATGCCCATGGGCCCATTCTCCCCACTCCCCTTCTTGCTGATTCTAGGAGGTAGGACTTACCTTCCTCAGAGGAATCTTGAACACAGGAGGCCCTCAAGATTCTGTGTGAAAAGATTTTCCTGGGCTGAGCTGAGGGCCCTTCTTGGCCCAGCCTGGGTTTGTTGAGGCCAGTGTGCCTGTGGGTCGGGCCCTGAGGGCTGGGAAGAACATGCCTCCGCAGTGCTACAAAGAGCCAGCAAGAGTGGACAGGAGAAAAGGGCAGGTCAGTCGGCTCTGACTTGACTGAGATCTCCCTGAGGTTTTTTAGAAACCCATGACATCTCTTTGACACTATTCCTCCTACTCCTACTCTGCTTCCTTTGCTGGCTTCCCTCCACAGGGATCTGGAGGGGCTTAGTTTTAGACTAACCTCCCATCCTAAGCATAAACTCACCCTCTAGTTCCTCTGCTTGGATTCTAGTGGCATAGAGGGAATAAGATATTTACCTCATTCATTATTGTAGCCTCAGCACCTAGTACTTTGTTTGATGGTAAAACTGACAATGATCATTATCATCATAATAATGAGAACTAATACTAATGCTTACTATGTGCCAGGCACGATTAGAAGTCCTTGACGTGTATTAACTCATTTAGTCCTCCCAAGAACTCTATGAGGGAAGTCCTATTATTTGCCCATTCTATAGATGAGGACACTGAGGCACAGGGAAATGACATGACTTTCCCCGGGACACAAGAATAGTATGTAGCAGCTTTGAGGCTTGAGCCCTGGCAATATGACTTCAGAGCCTTAACCACTAGCCTATGTCACCATGGCACATAATAGGAACTCAATAAATATTCATTTATTAATGAATGACTGAGCAGAGAATGACCTAAATGGCTAAGGGGCTGCCAGGAAGCCACATTCAGGATCTAGATCATTCTAGACCCCTGTGGGGTTTCCTCCATGGGTGTTGGTGGGAGGACATGGAAGGACACTGAAGAGCAGGTGTGGCCCACCGTGGGTGGACAGAAATTCCCCACTTCTCCTTCCTCTGACTTCAGATAGGAAAGGCAAGGAGCTGCTAATGGCTCTTTTCCTGAGGTGTGTCCAGAGATGCTTCCTGGCCCAGGGAAACTCCCCGCCCAGCCCTCCTACCCCCATGACTGAGAACTCACAGGAGCAGCACGGGTGCCACAAGGGAGATGAGAGGAAATGATCCAGGGAACTGTGCCAAGAGCAGAGCTCCGCTCGTGGAGGCACTCCTGGCAAGGAAGCCTGGAAGTGGATCTGCCTCGCCAGCTGCAGGGCCAGCACAGCCAGAGTGCCCTGGGAAAGAAAGCACGTCAGGGGCACAGCCCTCAACCCCCTGAGCATCGTTCTTTGGCTCTCAGCTCAAATATCACTTCCTCAGGAAGCTTTTCCCGACTCCTGGCTGGGGCAACTCCCCTACTACATACTCTGATAGCACTTGAGCTTATCCTTAGGAGCCCTGAGCATGCTGGCACTTAAGTAATCATCTATACAATTATTCATCTAGGGTCTGTCTCTCCTGTTAGTCTCTAAGTGCCATATGGCAGGATCTGTGTCTATTTTGCTCACCAGTGTATCCTGGTGCTAGCAGAGTGTTAAGATATTTCTTCTTGTTGTTGGATCCCAATGAGTCATTTTTTGATTCATAGTGACCCCACGTGACAGAGCAGAACTTTCCCATAGGCTATAATTTTATGGGAACAGATCACCAGGAATTTCTCCCACAGAGCTGCTGGATGCGTTCAAACCACCAACCTTTTGGTTAGCACTGAGTGTTTAACCATTGTGCCACCAGGGCTCCTGTTAAGATAAAGTAGAGGCTTAATAAATACATGGTGAATAACTTATAAATAAATAAGAGAAAATGACTGACTAAACAAAGCCTAAGCAGGCAAGACAGTGTAGTAAGTTGGGGCTTAGCCACAAATGCAGCAATAAGAAGTCAGACTTCCTCACCAGGCTCAATCTTTTTTGCTAGCCTGGCACAGCCCCTCCCTTCCTCTCTCCTGACCAAGCTAGCCTGTTACACACACATTTACTAGAGCAGGATTGCTAACATGGAAGGTGTCTCTTGTCTGACAGGTCTGCAGAAGATGAGCCAGCTCTTATCCTAATGACTGCCTCTTCTTGTGTGAGCCAAATACTTATTTGCTGCGATAGGCACTGGGTATAATGGCAAACAAGACAAGATACAATCTCTGCCTTCATGGAGTTTATGAAGAGAAAGACAAAATCCAAGCATACAAAAAATAAAATAATAACTAATTATGCTAAATGCCAAATAGACAAATTAAGTTTGCCTAGAGCATAAGAGGAAGGTCTTCTTACCAGATATGGAGTCGGGGAAAACCTTTCCAAGGGGGCAATGCGTGAGCTGAGGCCAAAAGGTAGAGAAGGCCCCAACCTTGTAAAGAGCAGGGACAAGGGTCCATGGCCCTGGGAACAGGAAGTTCACAGTTCCTTTCATATGGGTGGTAGTGACAGAGCTGAAGGGAGGCATCAGGATGCCTGGGATCCAGGCCCAGTTCCCGAAAGGACTCAGTGTGGGACCACTCTTGGGCTCAGATCTTCTTCAGCAAAATGGGAAAGCATTCCTCACTCAAGGGCATGTTATGTGAACTGCTTAGCTCTTGTTTCTCGGCTATGTTTAAGCAGGATCATTCTTGTCTACACTGAAAGTCAAGGACAGGGCTGAAGAAGTCTTACCCATGATAAGGCATCCCACAGGGTGTTCGGGGAGACACGGGTAGATATCCACTGGAAGGCATCCTTCCACCCATGGGTCCTTGGGCCCTTGCTTGTGCCTGGGCCTGGGCCATGAGGGCCGGAGCTAGAGAGATGCAATAGAGGCTGTCAAACTTGGCCTGAAGCAGGGGCAGAGGGATGCAACGGGAGATGGAACATCAGTGTCTCACCTATCAAGGCGGGGCACAGGGACCAGCAGGTTGGAGGAGGTAGTCTGAGGCCCATCTGGGCTTGTAGACCTGGGGTTCAACTTCCGGAGGCCAGGTCCTGGCAGCCGTTGAAGAGCTACATAGAGAAAAAGATCAGTAACCTCAACAGGGACAGGATTGAGGCACAGCAACACAAAAAATCTTCACCTTCCTACGCAGCCCCACCGCAAGAACCCAGGAATCATTGGCTTTGCCCCTGCAGTAGTTCTTGAACAAGGATATGTGTGGGAATCACCTGGAGCTTCTGTGCTAAGTACAAATTCTAGGGTGCCATTCCTTAACCAATACACCAGGATCTCTCAGGCAGCATCTATATTTTGGAAAACTCTACTCAGGGGATTCTGATCCTCTGATATTCCTGACAACCAGAGTTGTAAGATGACCAGACATTCATACTCATACTCCCATCCAATGTTTGCTGCACTTGTTCTCTAAACACTGCTTCTCTTCTTAATGGCTCCCCCTCCTCTATTCGTAGCTAAGCCTACTCTTTCATTGGCTTCTCCTATGATCTCCTGACACTAAAACCAAAACCAAACCAAACTCACTGCCATCCAGGCTATTCTGACTCATAGCAACCCCATTGGGTTTCCCAGGCTGTAAATCTTTATGGGGGAGCTCTGGTAGCATAGTGGCTAAGACACTTGCCTGCTAACCAGACGGCTGGCGGTTCAAACCCACCAGCCACTCCTCGGAAGGAAGGTTGGGCAATCCTACTTCTGTAGTGATACTGCCTCGGAAACCCAAGGAGGGGTCGCTATGAGTCGGGTTTGACTCGACGGCACATAACAACAACAACAACAAATCTTTATGGAAGTATATCACCCCATCTTCTGTACACTGAGAGACTGGTGGATTTGAACCACTGGCATTCTGGTTAGCAGCCAAATGCCTTAACCACTAAGCCACCAGAGGTCCCTTCCTCCTAGCACTAGCTCCACCCATCTCCTTGAAACTAAGCTCCACCCTTTTCCTATTAGCTCCACCCCCATGTCCTGGAATCGAAAACCGCCCCTCTCCACTAGTCCCACCCACATTTCAAATTCCAATGGCCTCTGATTTCTTGGCTGTAGCACCGCCCCTTATAAAGGACCTGCCTTTCAGTCCTAACTCCACCCACTGTTGGTTTGGCTCTATCCTCAGGCCAGCCTCTGCCGGGAGTTCAGAGTTTTCGCAGCTTCAAGTCGCCCGGCTGGGACGCTTCTTACCCCGGCCCAGGAGTCCCGGGAGGCGCCACATGTCTTCCGCAGCACCATAGAGAGCGCGCAGCCGTAAGAACGAAGCGAAGCCACGGGATGGCGGCTAGAGCGGCCGCTGTGGCGTCTCTGAGTGGCCGAGTCCCTAAGGAAGTTCTCAGCCAGCCAATTAGAAAGGAGTACGAACGGAAGAACGGTGCTTAGTGAAAGGAAGTGGCGAGTATAGGAGTGTTGGGAGATAGCAGGGAGGTGAACTGCGGCAAGGACGTAGGGTATGAGCCCAGTTTTCCACGAAAGAAGTGTCATTTGCTGTCTCCACAAGAATGAGGAGAGCTCATGGGTTGGGGAGGGGGCGCAGGTGGCTAACTTGAGCCATGTCAGAAAACGGCTAGAACGACCTCGGTGGAGCAAGAGGATCTTGGAGACACTGGAACTGGAGAAGAGAAAAAGTCTTCCTCCAGCACCGAAAGTTGACGGAGGTGGAGTAGTCAGGCCCAGTGTACGGAGGAGATGAGCCTAAGAGTTAGACGAAGGATGCTGGCAGTCAGTTTTCTGTCCGAGGCCGTCTACTGGGAAATGCAGGGCCTGAGACTGGGTAGGCGATGAAAACTGTTCAGGGCAGCCTTCTCTTTACAGGTTCAGTCTGATCCACGGTAGGGTCAGATGGAGTGGTCTCGACTGTTCCTTACTGAATTGACAGGCTGTGACGTTTGGGTTGCTCCTGGTGTAGTGCCTAAGGCATTTGATTGCTAACCAGAAGGCTGGCGGTTCAAACCCACCAGCCGCTCCTTGGAAGGAAGGTTGGGCAATCTACTTCCATAATGATATTGCGTTGGAAACCCGAAGAGAGATCGCCATGAGTCAGATACGACTCGACAGCAGTGGGTTTGGTTTGGATGGGGAGATTGCCCCTCTCCCCTCACCATGTTTATCAGAGCCCTGATCTTCAGACCTTAGGTACATGATCTTTTGTTGGGAGAAGGATGTTTTCTTTTTCACCACATTTTAATCCTTGAAATAAAGGTGCTCTCATTCAAATTCAAATGTAGAATGCTTAGACTTCTTTCTCCTACCCCTCCCACCATAGTAGGTACATGACTTCCAAGTGGATGGTGTAAAAATACAGGAGTATCTACTTTCAGACCCAGGCATGTGATGTGAAAGGAGCCCTGGTGGCGCATTGGTTAAGCGCTCGGCTGTTAGAAAGGTTTGTAGTTCCGGTGATCTGCTCCCCCCTAAAGAAGTCAGCCTAGGAAACCCTATGGGCCAGTTGTACTCTGTCCTCTAGAGTCACTATGAGTCGAAATCAATTTGACCTCACACAACAATATGTAATGTGAAAGTTGAATTAATTTTTTCAACATTAATTTTTGAGCATGTGTCAGCCACCATCCTAGGACCTGAGAAGAGAAATGAATAAAGAGCTTTTGTGGCCTCCATGAACACATGGTCCAGGGTTTTAAGAGTGAATCCCTACTGTATTGTCTCCTAGTTGTGTGTTCTCGGTCAGGTTACGTAACCTCTCAAGTCTCAGGTTCTTCATCTATAAAACAGGGGGAATAATAACTCATGGGATTGTTGTGACACTTAAATATGAATATCTTTGACATAGTTCATGGCACCATAATAAGAGTCACTCAATAATTGTAAGTTGTGACTAATTGCAGTAGTGGAGGTGAGTAGGCAAATACAATATTCCAATAGAAACGTGAACAATGGGCTATGGGATACCATAGAAGGATTCAGAGAAGTGGTTGCATTTGAACTGCATTAAATAGGAGAAATGAAAAAGGGAGAGAAAGCATTTCAAGCAGAGGAAACTGAGTAAGTAAAGGCTAAGGGGTTTGAATACTCAGAAATATCCTTGCTTTGATATTTGAGACAACCATCTTATGTTGCTGCCTCAAAATAAAACAATAAACATGCATACAAGTTCAGCTGTGTTCCTCCTGGTATTTTTTTCAGTTTGACTGCAATTTGTTCATTGCAATCCCACTTCTTCAGTGAAGACTTCTCAACTGAGGCCTCACTGCTCTCTGCTTTTCCCGATTCCTGTAGCGTTTAATTTCTTACCACACAATTTAGCAATAATTATATGCTGTCCTGTTACTTAATTATCTCATTTGTGTAAGTCTAGTCTCCCTAGTTCTCTCCCTCAGGGTAGGGATGGCATTTTCTCATTCTTTGTCCCCCATAGGGCTTGACATAAGCTGTCAGCCTAGAGAAGATGCTCAAACAAAGTCTGTTGATTGAATGAACACCTTATGTGCATAATGATTTCAGCTAAGAGCATCAGACCCAATCATGAGATTTATTGATTCAGTCCACATAAAAACATTCATTGAGAGCCTTTCGTGTTGGAAGCTAGTTGAAATTTTGCAGCAGATGGTAGGGTGCCTGTTGCTATATATAAGATGGCGTTATGGCATCTCTTGTCCTCAGAAGCCTGAGAATACTGACAGAGCACTTGGGTAAGGGGTAGATGGCAAAAGTGGCTGGAGTTCTTAGAGTCCTCCCTAGCACACCAGTCCATCCCGTCCGTATTACCCAGACAACGTCATCAGGAATAACAGCTTTGTTCCCTTGACCTTTAGCTTTGCCTGACCTTCCAGGCCCAAATCTTTGGCCATTCTCTTCTCCCATGGTTTGTGGCCCATAGCCAGGTTAACTCAAAGTCAAGGTAAACTATCTATCTTACATTGGGAACTTAACTGCCCAAATGACTAGTGGAATCACCTCCTGTTGATGCCATTGTATATTTACCACAGTGACTGTTCTAGACATTTGTTGGTGCCTTTGTTTTTATGTAGACATTCTTAGTTTGTGTTTATCAAATATATGAGAGCTGGAGAATGTCCTGAGTATAAACTCTTTTTAAAAATGGATGTAGTCCCTGCCCTCACAGAGAAAATAGTCTAGTGGGGCAAACTAAGTCGGTAGGCAATTAAAATACAGAATGGTGTTTTAGCTATTTATTGCAGCATAACAAACACACCAACATTTAGTAGCTTAAAAGATCATTTTATTACCCCTCTGTTCTGTGCATTGGCTGGGCTCAGCTGGGCAATTCTGCTGGTGTCACCTGGGGTCTCTCATGAGGTTCCAGTCAGATAGCGGCTGGGACTGGTGGCATCTGAAGGCTCAACTAGGAGTTGGGACTTCTTTCCCTCTCCATGTAGTCTAGGGACCTCTATTCTCTACTTGGCCTCTCCTGCTGGGTAGCTGAACTTCTTACATGGTGCCTCAGGGCTTCCAAAAGTACAAAAGTGGAAGCTGCCAGGCTTTTTAAGCCTTAGGCCTGGAACTGGCACAGCATCACTTCCCCAGCATTCTGTAAGTTAAAGCAAATTACAGGACCGCCCAGGGTCTGCTTAGGAGGGGAAGACACAGGGTATGGATACTGTGGAGTGTGGTTCTTTGGAGACTACTAAGTGCTGTGTTGGGAAAAGTATAGGATGCTATGGGAGAGCCCAGTGGAGGCCCATTACCAAGGGTTAGAAGTCAGGAAGACTTCCTGGAAGCAGAGACATCTAAACTGAAACCTCAGAGATGATGACTAAGAACTAGCCAGGTGAAGAGAAGAAAGGGAAAGCACAATTCAGGCAGGGAAAACAGCTGGTGCAAAGTCCAGAGAAGCAAAAGAGCATGGTGTGGCTGTAGCCATTGGGAGGAGGGGGGCTCAGTGGTGATAGCCTTGTAGGCTGCAGAGGAAAATGGGGCCAGGTCATAAGTCCTAAGGCTCTAAGGTTTCCTAAGGTGTCTGGACTCATCCTGAGGTCATCAGGACACAAAAGGAGGGTTTTCAGCAGGGGAGTGACCAGGTCAGAGTGATCCTAAAAAGTCCGTCCTTGGCTGCTGTGTGTTTTGTTGTGGGGGAAGGGTGCATATTGGGAAGGAGGTCAAGCCTATATTTTCACCTTGTCCTTCTAGACCAGTAACCTCACCTTTGTCACTGAGAAGGCCAAGGCATCAACTCAGCACTCATATCAGTTCTTTTTTCTTTTTTATTTGTGGGAATTTTCTTATTATAGAAGAATGCAAATTCCTTTAAACAAGTTCCTTCAAAAATTATTTTTTAAAAGAACATACCGTTCTTTTTCAAAGCCTCCTACCCAATAAAATCTGGATAAGGAAGGGTAGGGAGGATGGTCATATGGTTGAACAATTGAAGCCTAAGTGTAAAGTTCGTTAAGGAAGAGCCAACTGGCAGGGAGCGTGTAGCACACCAGGGACAATGGATTTTACATCTGAGTAAGGCAATGGTTGGTTAGAAGAACCCCTACTCTAGTAAAAAGTCAAATAGAACAAAAAGGCTTATGACCAAAGAAAGCAGATCCCTTAACATGCAGCTCCCTACCCTCTAGGCCTACTCCCTGGAGGCAACCATTTCCAAGTCTGAAATTTCAGAAAGCAGCACAGAACAGTGCAATTTCTGGAGTCCAATGCAGCTCTCCACATACCAGCTGGGTGACCTTGGTAAAATTAATTATAATAGAAGATGGGGCGATCTACTTCCCTAGTGATCCTGTCTCAGAAACCCAAGGAGGGGTTGCTATGAGTCGGGTCCCACTCGATGGCACATAACAACAGCTTTGTACCTCAGTTTCTTCATCTGTAAGATGGGAGTGATCATTGTACCCTGCTCATGAGATAACACATAGAAATTGCCTGATGTGGTCAATAATGATAGCGATCTATGATGGTGATGAAAAAGAACCTAACGAGAACTGTCGTGCGTACGCATGGAAGTTAGTTGCGTGCTATACAAATAAATGTAGGGCATGCTTTTGATTTAGAGGAAATGACAAAAACACACACACAGTTGGAGAGATCTATCTCTTCTCTTTGTTCTACAGCCAATGTCTGTGTTTGCTTTCAGTCCCCTTCCTTTCCTGTCTCTTCTAGAATCTTGTCTCTATAATTATCCTGACCCTCATCAAAACATACATCTCTCTGCTAGCTTTTTTTTCCTTCCTGCCTATGAAATATTCCTATCTTGGGGAAAAAAATCCTTTATTTGATCCTCCTGCACTTTTCAGCTTTCATTCTGTTTCTCTTCTGCCACTGCCA